GTTGTAAATTTAAATGTTGCCTTTTAATGGTCAGTGGACGAGCACCAAACCTTTACAGCATGTGCGGGCCCTGCAGACCATGAACACATGCTCAAACTATTAACTAGCTGTAAATTATCATCAGCAGTGGACTCGCTGAAACAGTGACCTCTTCTGTTAAGCATCTCAATTTAAAAAATGAAGGTCATTTCTCAAATACATTTGAACTTTGTTTTATTCATGATATAAATAAATATATAAACGATAGTGCAGCAACGTGTTTATTGTATCTATGGTGGACAATTACTGTTGCTACGTGTTACCTGAACATGTTCACGTGTCACTTCTTTGTTAGGAAAAAGTCAGATCATCTAACTTCACTTTGATTTTCAGAGATTCCTGAATGTTTGATATCACATGAAGACTCTTCCTCACATTTGTGATAAATGACAGTTTCTTTAAAAGAGAACAATGTTGACAGTGAACAAAGCCGTTCATTGCAAAGAGAAGTCTAGAATTTGAGGTTGACAGTCCTTTGCGCAGATTAAGGCCATAATGAGGCTTTATTGTCTACGTCTACTGCTATCTTTGATATTAAGACAATCATAGAAGTTGTAAAGAAACTTCTTGACAAAAAACTGTGCTTTAAATAAATGCTTAGGTCGGATGTGTTAGATCTATGGGGCGTAACAAATAGAGTCATCAGTGTGTGCTTAATGGGCTGTAAGACCAGGACTTCAAAGACCAGCAGAGCTGACCTGCACACTGTTTAATTGTGGGGGAAACAACGTCAACAAACTGATCAGTTTGTTTTCTCCTTCTGACCGCCCCTTACCCTCTGAGGACCAGCAACCAGGAAAAGAAGGAATTCAGCCCTCAGTCAGAGAGAATTCCCCTCCCGTAAAGCCAGAGGATTATGGACCAGTGTGATGGTAGATGATCTGGCTCATACCAAATATAATAGGCATCGATAAACCCTTGTATAGACTTAAGTTATGGGCTCAGCAATCTGAACTGTAGCCCCCAATTTCCACAAACTCTTGTGTGCACCGCAGTCCATCACCACCGCACACTACACCGCCGTTCACTGCCACTCTAGTCAATGATTGTGTTTCCACAGCGAGTGCCATGGTTCATCTTCGGCACGTGCCAGCAGAGCCACTAAGCTCTGCTCCGTTTTAAATACGCTGCAAGTCTATTTTCGACAGAGTACGCTGCAGGCACGCATCAAGCTAGAAAGAGTAGAACAACCCAGACAGGAAGTCAGACGAGGAAACTCACAGAGTGTATGGTCAATTTAAAAAAAAAAAAAAAAAAAAAAACCCATACAGACTCATGATCGTATTTTCCATCACTTTATCAACATTACATCAAAACAGACGTCCAAATGAACAACAAAGCAACCTCAAAAAAATAAAGTAACAAGTGTTTTGCACGTTTTCTCTTTATCCTCACGAGATCTTGTAGTTCTCTTGTGACGTGTGTACAGTTGCTCTTGGCTGCGCTCAGCTACACAATGCTCAGCCGCGTTTTAGCGCTCACGTTCTAGAAACAGATCCAGTGGGGCAAGGCGCGCGCTGTCCGATGGAGCAATACCATGGTGCTGACGGACCACGGCACATGTTGATAAGTGTGGCAGCTGAAAACAATCGTCATTTAAATACCACGCCCCCAGAGTTTACCACATGGAGGTACGTAATACTACTAAGAAGAGAAACTTTTCTGAGATGGAAGTTGAAACGAATAATAAAGAGGGGGGGGGGGGTACACAGACAAACCTGAACCTGCACCTGTGTCTCAGACTGATAATGGTGAATATTTAATGGCCCAGACTAGATTTTGTACCCTTAATTAAAATGTACTCTGTCAATATCAAAAAAGATATCATGCAGTTACAAAGTTTATTCATATACTTTTATTTATGTTTCAGATGATTCACCACCAGGCCCAAACTGGCCCGGAGCCAGCCCCACAGACGAAGGCAACCGGAGGGCATGGAGCCTCAGTGTTTGCCAAAAACCATGATCTGTGTTTATCGAAGAGGTCCTGGAGAGACAGATGGAGATACGTCGGTCAATGACTGAGATAAACCACTCTCTCATTGCAATTAATGACACATTAAAAGAGATCAATGAAAACCTGAAACATACAGAAAGTCAATAAAGTGTATGCCTGAACATTGTGTGATGTCTATTTGTAATCACCTACTTGCCAAACATAAGAATTTCACACTTACATATTAGAAGCGCTGGTTTATGTCCCATCTCCGTCTTACAGCTCCCATGATTGGCTCTGCTGGCCACGGCTCTCTTTGCATGGGTTCATCTGGCTGCAGCGCATCAAATGGCACCCGGTTATTCTGCGCAATATTGTGCAGAACCCCACAGGCAAAAACCATATCACACACTTTTTGCGGTGTGTACAGCAGAGTTCCCTGCGTTGTTCTCCCTGTTGCAAGGCAGAGCCATCTCCCCTTAAGTAACCCGATGCAGCACTCCATCATGACCCGTGTGCACCGTTGAATCTGCACTCCTGCTCTGTTGCAGGGTTTGCCAGTGGGGTAACTAGGTAATCAGTGAGAGGGTATCCGTTGTCACCTAGTGTATGAATAACACCAACCAGTAATATAAAAGCCTGTAGAATTTTAATTGGACGCAGCACTCACCAAGTAGATGAGCAGCAGCCGTCTCCCTACACAGCTGAAATACATTTAAGATGCCATATCTTATCTACCAAGGAATATGAAAACCTCTATCTAACTCATCTAAACAGGCACTGCACTAGTATGATCTAATAATTCTCTGACACGGCAAGATTTGCTGCACCGCAAGTCCACACTGACTCGAAAACGTGCATACACGAGCTGAGACCTGGCGTGGGATTTGAGCGTATCCTCCGCTCACGTCCAAATTGATAAGTGCTGAAATTTGTGTGGAAATTACCATACACCCATTTTTCTGTCGTATGTGCGTTTGATAAGTGAGGGCCTGTGTGTTTTCTTGTTTGTGTCTCTGGGTGTGGATCTACAAGCCTTGCCACTAATCAAGCCTGCAAACCTGCTGCTCATCTGCAATCAAGCCACCCACACACTCCACAGTTTAAAAGAGTCTCGCTAAAGTTATAACTTATGAGTTCATTGGAATTGTCTACTAAAATGTAAGTAGTGCTTGAACTCTGTTGTAAGTTGGAACTCACATTCAGTCTTGGCTACACCCTGGTGCAGGTCCCTAAACAGCAGTTTAGATGCATTTTGAGACCACTACTCCTACTGTGACAAGTTAATATAATATTAGTCAAATGTATAACACATGATCAAATGCTTTAAGACAAGTTTAATCACATTGAGTCTCTCCATGATGATCTGATGATATATAAATATGAAAACATAATCTGTAACAAAACCCTTCGATTGGTGACTGATGGCATACTTGGACATGGATTATTCTTTTTGGCGCAGAGCATCATCATGTTTACTACAGCAGTTAGACTGGAGAAACTCACTGTGCTGCTATCAGACCGTCTGTGGCTGTTATTTGACAGCTACTGGAAAGATTGTGTTTTTTTTCATGTAAATCAGTGCATGAGTTGATGTCGTGTATTAGTCAAGCCACCTAAAAAGTCAAAATGGTAACTGAGCATTGTGATTGTTGATCGTCTCTCTTGCGTGACAGACACTTTAGTGATGGCCGGATCTTGAAGCACTCAAAGTTGTTTAAAAATGTAAATCGGATTATGCATTTGCAGCATTAGTGAACTCTTTATAGATAAAAATCCTCTTGTTCAATAGGTATTCATTGGTATATGTTCCAGTTCATGGCAATTACATCATTGATGAATACATCTATATCATATTGCTAAGTAGGCCTAGTTATTTTTTTTATTTGTCAAAGGACTGGTGCACCCAATCTTGTTAAAATTACCCATTAAGATGAGTTAATTTCTATTGCAAAGGGAGTTAATGGTGGAGACTGAGCAGGCAAGGAGGGGAGCAGATATCTTCTACCAATGGTTAAATATTTATTAACATGATAAATGACCTTAATAAAAATGCGTTCTTTGATTTTAACCATTTAATCTGTCAATCAGCAGCGCTCAAACTACTATAAGAAAGGCCTCTGTCACCAGTTTAAATTCTCACAGTGATTAAACCTCTGTAATCCTCAAGGTGTTGATGTTAAGTTTAGCTGATATCATGAGAAGGAGAGCATTCAATTATGCACAATTTACTCATGTCAACAACACCAAAAGTATGAAGTCCAATATGTTTGTCCAGTGGGTTTGTTGATGTAAATATGGATTTTTACTACCTTGCATAGAGTAAAACCATGAGGCCCTTTATTGCCCCTTTAGTGCTGGATGGTTTGGGGGGTCTCTGTGCACTTCACTAGATGGGACCTCAGAGTAGACTGGGTTCATGGAAAGTGTCAATACAAAGGTCAACAAGGGTCCAAGAAGTAGTGGGGGGAAAAACTACAAAAACATATTAAGTTAACATAAAATACTAAGTATATTTGCACAATATAATAATGTAATGTGCTTCCATTAGTCCGGCCTGTACAAATAATAACAATGTTAGGCTGTGGTTAAAAGAAGAATTCTACTTAGCTGCATTATATCACAAAATAATTCTTATTATTCAAACATGAGTGAACTTAACTATTAGAAGGGAATTTCAGATTAATGCACCACAGTGAATCCACAAGATTAAAGAAACAATACTAATTTCATTGATGTGGACTGGTTTTCTGATTTTGCTTTATTGTGAAGTTGGAAATTGGGCAAGGGGCCTCAATTAGGTCTACAGACACTCTGCTTAAAAAATATAGATATATTTTGACTACTTGTGTCAACTTTCTATTTCGGTGTGCAAAGTAATTTTTTTGCACTTTTGTGCACCGCAAAACCTGAAGAAACCAAGAACACTTTGGTGTGAAACCTGTGCGCACAAAACCATCCACACTAACTCCGCGATGTGAATGACTTTCCGTTCTTTCTGCCCAGCCCGCGCAGCCGGTTCACTGAATCCAGCAGATCCTCTAACAAACAGAGACGGATCTGGGCTGAGGACTGCAGAGTGCTGCGTTGTTTTGGTCTGGGGCCGAGCCGTTCTGTCAGCAGGCCGTCACTGTACCGCCTGTGTGACTGAGCGCTTTGCTTTGCGCACCCTAAAAATATCCCTCGCCAAGTGCGCGGATCAAAGGGGGGAGCAACACCGCCATGGATCCCGCCCCAGCATTTAACCTAAAGCCTTTCAGAGGAGGAGCATGCACTAAGAGCAAAGGGCCCGCGGCATCCAGAGCTGCGCAGAGGAGAGAGAGAGAGGCTGACTCGGGTTTCAGAGACGCGCACTGACTGCTGACCTGCGCCAGAGAGGGAGCGCTCAGAGAAGAAGCAGCGAGTGAGGACAAACGGAGCTGAACACCAAGGACTAATAAGAGCCGGTCCCTGTGAATCAGAAACATCACTGACTGAATGATGACAATCCACATAATGTCTCATATTCTAACGTTGATATAGGTGCTCATCTGAGTGCATCAAGACAGTTTGGTCAAGAAAGGGACATCTGGTAAACTTTTCTCTAAAGTTGGACAGCCGCGCATAAGCTCCAAACTTCCAGGTCGTAAGGATTCCTCATCTGTCTGAAGAAGCTGGAGAATAAAGGGATTTTCGTGCGGACATAGTCAAACCTAGATGATTAGAATGGAGGAGGATCAGAAGTGGGGACTTGCTGGCAAAGCGGGGGAAGACAGGACGACGCACGGCACGAAGCAGCAGAAACCATCCAAACAGCCGCAGTGGAGGAATTGGAGAGATTTTTGCGGCGTAACGGTTTGCATCGCATTATCTGTTCTGTGCCTTGGAGTTTGCATTGTGGTTTTTGTGCGCACCTCGGAGTTGCAGTCCAGGATAGTAAGTCTGGAGCAGCAGCAGATCTCGGCGTGGATGTTGTCTGTGGAGCAGGTGGAGCCCGTTATCATGGGACGACTGGACCAGATCCTGGAGGAGGTGAGCGCTTTATTCTTAAAATTCAATTTAAATGTCTTGGAAGGGACGGAATGAAATTGAAAATATAATGTAATATCACTTCTTTTCATTCAACTACATGAGGTTTGTCTTGTTGCATTTTAGTGTAGTTGTGCCTTTATTCTGGCAATCCCTTAAAAAAATAGCCCTTAAGTCTTCTGAATGTTACAATGAAAACACACTGAAATTATCCAGGGATTGCTTAATGTCCCTATTAAAAATCCTGCAAACTTAACCCATTGAGAATATATCAAAGTCCTCAAACAAGAACAAAGGTATCCCCTTTTAAACCTTTGACAAGAGGTATTGTCAAGGTTTTAACTTCGGTGTTTGCAGAAGTTGTTCACCATTCCTACAGCATTTACTGTTTATGGAGACTTTATTTATATTATAAAGCCCTTCAAATGCACATGTATTATAAAACACAGTCATATTGCTCTGTGGGACTGTGGGCTATAGGTCTTGTCCCTTTGAGGAAGGACTGATAAGCTCAGAGAAAAGGAGAAAATGATGATAAGCATTCAATGAATTTATAATATTTCATTTAGTGCAAGCAATGAGTCAAACTACACTTAAGCAGGTGTCTTAGTTGTTCTTAACGCTGTAGGGGACATGAGCTGGTTAAATATTGGCAACAGGTATTGACAATAACAGAATTTCTTTAATTGTTGAAAAGATCACATGTGCTTCCTCACTGTGAAAGATGGAGAGAGATAAGGTGTGAGGAGCTCAGCCTGCTCTCTCACATCTGTTGCTCCTGAGGTCCTCTGTGTTGCCCTTTCATTGACCACTTCCACAGCTACACTAATAAGCTCCTCCACAGTGATTGAAGTCCCAGAGGGGCTCTGTTTTCCCTTCCCCAAATTTGCTTTGGCCCAACTTTTAAGACACCCCCCCCCCAAAACACACACACATACACACACACACTCCCCACCCCCACCACTCCTTTCACTAGGACTATAGGATAAAGCACTTCCCTGGGAAAAAAAGAGCGACAAGGTGCTCTCTGCTGGGGTTCATACTGAGCCAAATTTTAAAAACACACACAGACATCACCAGTGTCTGTTTATTACATTTTGTATATCCCCTCAATGATACAGTCCATACATGGACTTGTGGCCTGCTTCCTGTGTTTCTTACAATGAATTACATGATTATATAATGATATTGTGGATTTTTGTTTGTTTTGTTTTGTGTTGTTTGGATTGGCTTATCTGAAATTGTCTTTATGAAATACTCTGTGGTTATGAGGCAAAGTCTGCTATGTGCCATAAACCACATGTCTATGACTACCCTGTCTAATTTATCTGTTCTGGAAACAAAGGCTTTGGTTATGGTCCTCTCACAGATGCACACCAGGTCGCACCAAAATCAGCTACCTTTTTCAGATGAGAAAACTTCAGGAGCAACAGTCACAGTGGTGTATTTACTAAACACATTAGAAGGCACAAGTCAATGAATGAGATTTGAAAGTGATGGAAGTTGATTGTCAAACTTAGGATAGAGCCATTTCTGTCTTTATGCTAAGCTAAGCTAACCATGTATCTACCGCCAACTCCCTTCTATACATGCAGACATGACATCATATCATAATCTTGCTTGACTACTCTATAAAAGTTTATACTCAAAGTGTGTGCAAACAGAACACACTGCAGTTGATGCACTGATGGACATGGTGATAACAAATCAAAGGATCTGTTGAAAGGATCCTGTTTGATTGCTGTGCTCTGAAGTTCTTCCGTGGAGCCTTTGGAGGAGGATTTCTCCATATTCAGCTCCAGACGGGCCAGGGGCGGTGCAGCCTGCCTCTTTGTTTAGTTCTGAGTATATAAATAGTTATTATTAATGGACACAAGCACAGATGTGGCTTTTTGTAGTGAGAAAAAGAGAGAGACGTTTGTGATACTTTCACCCAAACGCTGGTCTCCTCGATGATGACCAGTTTCCTCTGTGATGGAAAATGTCCACTGTTCCAGCCGTCCAGTGTTATTATGATTATTCCATTCAAATATAGATCACAGCAGAATCCAAAAGCTTATTTAGTCATGTTTCTGGGTTGTTGTTTTTTGCAGATCTGGTGCCTGGGTAATGAGGCTTTGTAAAAGTTTTTTTGATAGATGGATATTGAGAAAATGGGCCCTGGGCACACACAAGCCCCCTGCCCACCCTGTTATTGGACAAAGACTGACATTTGTATCTTTAAAGGGGAATGTTTGTTCCCTTCATAACACATTTGCTTGTGCTTGAGGTTGTTTTTTTGAAGTGTTTATGTCTTACCTTGGGAACCATGGTTGCCGCTGTTTGTTATTGTTTCATACTGTCTGAAGAACAATTTGAACAGTGCTGAGCAAAGGCATGAGCCTCTGGACCTGTGACAGACAGGTTTATCTGTTGCATTATTGACTTACTTTACACTCGCTGTGAGTGGGAAGAAAACTGATGTCATTCTCTTATCTTTGTTAAGGAGCTGAAATCCAGAAGGGGTTAGCATAGCTTCATGCAAAGACTGGAAGAAAGGGGGGAAAGCTAGACTGGAACTTATATAGATATTGTATTTAACCTTCTCAGAAAACAGATCGCAAAATGTTACATGCGTAAAGGGTTATAGAGGGGACCGATTCAGTTATATTCTAACATTAAGATTGAAACATGCACATTATTGCAATTAATTAAATACTGGTCATTTAAAAGCAGTAGTAAAGCACTTGGACAGAGCCGAGTTGACTGCCTCCAACCCTTATGCTAAGCTATTTGCCAGCCATATTTGGTTCAAGCTGTTCATTTAATGCAAAGACATGGGATTAGTAATGTTTGGAAGTAGTTACATGTGACATACAATTTAAAGCAATGGCATTGTTTTAAGCTGAATGAGACCAAGCTTACTGCAGGTCCTACAAACAAAACAGTTTCTTCCTTGTCCTCATACAACGTGAGCAGGAATAATTTCTTTGTACAAAATAGTATGAATTCCAATTTTGGGAAGCATGCCTGAATGTTTGCGTCATAACTAGGAATTCTCAACAGGTGTCCATGTTAAGAATAAGCTTTGTGGGGTCCTTGAATTCAGCTTTACCTCTCCCACATTAACTGCCTTACCCTTAACAACACCCCCTAATACTGCCTGACCGACCTGACCTTCACCTCACTCGTCATTATCTCACCTAAGCATGGCCCCTTTAACATTTACTATCGACCACAAAGTGCTCTCTGCAGACCTGGTATACAAGCCTGGTGCGCATAGCGAGTGCATAGGCATGATGGGAGCTGAAGGCCGCATTGTGAGGTGTAGAAAATGAAAATTATAGTGTGCCCCTGCCCCAGTTTCCTCACTCTGCTCCCCACAGAACTGTCACCCAATACACTGTGAGGCCTACACCGAGTCACACAACATGAACACAAATACATACATATACATGTCAACATCTTCTATGATGAGTGTGTGTGTGTGTGTGGGAGGATAAATGACCCATGTGCTAATCAGACAGCCTAATGCAAATAGCACACTCAAGTAGAAGTGCTCAAGTCACCTCTGCACTTTGTCAGAGCACAGTTAGTGATGGCTGCACACACACACATATATAAACACACAGTCATTTCTTTCACCTGACCTGAATGATAGATTACAGTTGAGAGTGAGACTAAACAGGCGTGCTGATGATAGTAGATATAGTAATGATAAACAGCACACAGGCTCTGACATCCTCTCTGAGTTCTGCAGACAGCTGTGGACTTTTACTGATCAGGATACGCTTCAGTTCATAATACAATCCTAGATTTCCATCATTTCCTCAATCCAATCTAAATTCAGGTTTGTGGCATTAAGTCATAGTTGTTTTTGTTGCCAAACTATTAATAATGAAACAATCAAATTATGCTCATATTTCAATTTCCATTTCAGGATGTTATTTACAATGACATTTTTTTATTTTCTTTGTCAAAATGTAAAAATTCATCATTCAAATAGAAAAGTGACAAAAAAACTATCAAACTCAAATAAAAGATTTGACATGAACTCGCTATTTTTTAATTTTAAATTACATTGCGACTTTTTCTCATTCTATAAAAGTTAAAAATGCTGAAAATGTTTGACTTTGACACTGAGGTGAATAGACGCAGATAGATCGAAGTCAGGCTGGTGATGTTTACCCATGATGCTCCTGGGCGTATGATCAATTTGAATATGTCATGGCTTGTTTTTTACTAAAATGTCAAATAAATACATTTTCAAATGACTTCGTATGGATGGACGATTCGAGGGAATTCTTGCAGAATGTTGAATACTAGAAATATCTGGCTTTCCCTCAGCCCTCTTTGAAACAAAGATGCAAAGTAAAGGCCAGAACTGAAACATTTTAACAGGAAGTCAATAAAGCTTCTTTTAATCAGTGCCAGTCTTCATGTTAACCAGACTACAGGATAGGAAAGGGCTTTGTCATCCTATTAAAAACACACACACACACACCTTTTCATAAATTAATCACTCTGTTAAATCCATGCAGAAGTCATACAATCTTGGAAATAGCGTCTCGATCACTCTTAATGGTGAATCAGATTTCCATTGCAGATAAACTTTCATTAGCTTGACCAAGCAGGACAACCCATCTTTACCTACTACAACTTACTACAACGTTAAATACTATAAACTGAACATAGATTTGCGAACATCTCGCAGATTGGTATGTTTCTTCATTGTGCACTTCATTTGCTGCTGTGTATCATATTTTAAGAGTGACAGAGTCTGTGCAGGGAACAGGTCAGACTGAATGGAATAGTTAGACAAAACACCACCGATGTCCTTCATATTAGTCGGATCCTTAATATACCCTTTGTTCAACACGTTGGTGTGTTTGAGTGTTGGTGTCTAATCCAACTTTTCTTTTGGGAAGTGGCCGTTTTATTGGAAGCTCAAACACATCTCAAATTGTGGATGCAGACCCTAAGACAGCAGAAAACAAACAATTAAACAAACAAACTACAGAACATGATATGTAATGTTTTATAATTATTAACGTCTCAATCCAAAAGTGCAATTCAAATGTTGAACTCAAACGTTGAGGGACTTCCCCAAATGCCAAAAGAAAAACTCCCAAAGGGTTAAAACAGTTTGTATGCAAGCTTCTATACATGTTGCACTTTTTTACATCCACAAACTTAGTAATATGTTTTATGTTAATAAAAACATAAACTGGTACGACTATGTTTAGGATTGAGATGATTTCTTCTTTGACAGTATTTCTGGCGGCTCATTTTCATGTTAAAATTCTCTCTCTGGCTCTGCTCTTTAAGGATTTCCTTAATTCTTGAGTGTTGTACTTTTTACAGACCAAAAAGAGTATAGCATTAAGGTAGAACAGTCATTAGTCAGTGTAGGATAATGTATAGTGAAGACACGACTTAAAGGCTGATGACAGTCTTCAGAGTCTGCTCATTAGGCCTTCATTTCTCTCCCTCAGGCAGCTCTGCTTCTATTGTGAGCTTTGATGTGGTTAAACATGCAGCTCTATTTGTGAGAACTTGCCGCCACAGTTGAACTGGCTCTCCACTCTGCACCATCTCTATTGTCTGGTTTGGAGAATTTGTTTTTGGATATATTGTTGCTTCAGGTTGGAACATGTAGAGCTGTGGCTGCATGGCTCTCAGGATTAGTCTTACTAAAGACTTCTCCAGTTGTTCGTGGGGTCTGCCAGTATCAACCAAATAAATTCCTGGAAGTGTTCATGAATAATATAAAACGGGTCGAGGGAAATTTGTGTCTTGAGTGTGCAATCTGACAATGGATTCCGCATGAGACTCTTGAATGACGGGAGCGCTTAACTGTGGAACTTTGGAAGCTGATTTGAAAGGCAAATTTATACGGGGAGTGTTTCATATCTGACCCCATACTTGTGGAAGAGAATACTCACAGAAGGCCTGCAGAACAGACATATTTTACTTGTTCTTACAGTTTTATCTTCATGTGGATGGAGTTCAGCCTTTATGTGTCTTAAGGATTCAACGTGTTTCAAACAAATGACTTTTGAAACTAACAGCGTCTGAATCCACCTGTGAAACTGAGTTCAGACTCCATCAAGCCATTTGGATAACTTTTGGAAACACATCATTTAACTTACATGCAAGATTTATGGAGTAATCGGTCAGGTTTCAGGATGTAGAAGATAGTGAGGTTTGAATTTCTTATAGAAAAGACACGTTTCTCCTAACTCCATGATCAACGGCTAAGAGTTTTTAAGACAAAACTAGAAAAACGGTGAAGCGAATCCTGCACGTTTAGGGGCCTCGGTTCTGTCCGTGGCTTGTCCTACCAAACACAGGGATAGGCAGTACCCAGAATACCCCAGCCGTGCTCAGAATGACACTGCCTTCATGACATCCCCTTCAGCACCTGTTGCAGATCTCTGAACAGGCAGCGCCGGCATTCCTCTGCGAGTAACCACCACAGTGGGACTGACTGCTATGCTGTGGAGAATGTTCTTGGATGGTTCTGTGTTCTGCTCAGGGTTGGATCACATGCACACGTTTGTTGATCTAATGAGGTCAACAGTCACACTTATTCTTTTCGGCACTGTAACTTGCGATTCATCGGCATGCAACTCGGTTTAAAAAGATATTTGTTAGCTGTTTACATGCTCTACGTGAGGCTGCTGATGGTTTGAGCATTTCCTTCATGTCACATACTCTTTGATGTATTGGCTCTACAGAAAATAAAAGTACAAAGCCATGGGGATTTCTGTGAATACTTATAGTAAATCTAAACAATTTCAAACTCATGTCCTCTCACTCTCTCCAATGATCTTTTGAGTATTGACTCTTGTTCATCATATAAAGTTTGCACCATTCTCATGAATTGAAACTTTTCTTCTCATCTATGTTGGCTTAAACATGTGTGCTAAAAAGTTCTCTCCCAAAATGTGAAGAAAGTCGTAAAAGATTTGAGACTGTGCCCAATATGTACAGTTTCATGTGTACTCCCGCCTCTTAAAAGCATGTTGACAGAGTATGAGCTCTGATACTTAAAGAAAATGGACATGTTTCTAAGGTTGAATTTGGGCTGTGGTGCTCATTGTAATTCACACATTTAAGTGTGATACTTTGTGTTGGATATGTATCGCTGTTGTTATCCTCTTTTAGACCTTCTCAGATAAGCCAGTCGCTGCAGATGGCTGTTCATCAAGTCTGGCTCTGCTCAAAGTTTCTGCCATTTCATAGGAGGTCTTTCTTTGTATGCTTAAAACCCAGCTTCTTCTACACGTTGTAGATTAAATGCTAATGTTCTTCTTCTGTTCCCTTCCTCATGCAGAAGCTTGCAGCACGTCTACCAAAGACACGGGAGGTGAGGGAAGCTCCACACAGCTGCATGTGTCCACCAGGTAAGTTTCTTTTCATTTACATTCTGCCTTTTAGTAGTTAAGTAGTTTGTCCAAGCACCAGGAGAGATCTTTAACAAACATCGATGTAGATGTCTCATCAGTAGAAAAGTTTGCAGCATTGTTGTGTTGGTGGGCAATGACAGGAAAGTTAGAATGGCATTGACTGTGAATTCACAACAGTAAGTAACGTCATGATGTGATGAACATCTTTCGGAAATGTATTGATCTCATTTTAACACATACACACTTAACAGACACTTTCTCTTTGGCCACTTGTTGAATGTGGAGCGCTCTCTCTCTCTCTCTCTCTCTCTCTCTCTCTCTCTCTCTCTCTCTCTCTCTCTCCTTGCGTAAAATGTTCCCTTTATAAATAGTATGAAAGCTATTTAGTCTGTTTTGCTGATGTAAATCTATCTGCTATGTTAAATAAGCCAGCTGGTGGACGTTGCTCTTGTGCCGCTCAGCTCATTCAGACATGTTGACAAGCTGATGAGTGTTTACTGTAAGATAGCAGTGAGGGCTGTTTGGTGTCCAATTAGATCGTGATTCAAGTTGGTTCAATGAGATGGCAACATTTAATCATTTCTGTAAACTTACCACATCACTGCAAACCGAACGTGGAGAATGGACTGTGGCTAAATTGACAGCGGTCGGATGCTAGACAGTTCTGAGAACCTTTGACTGTTTTTGATTTTACTTGATTGGCATTGTTGGGCCTAATCAATTTCCCAAAAGGTTTGTGAGATGAAGAAATACTTTTAACAGCTGAATTATTGGTGAGACTGGCTGAGAAACTCCTTCAGTGTCTGTGGACACCTGTTTCTGTGCTACAGCCCCGGGTGGTGGTCATTAAGCCCTCAGTTAAACAGGTTCACGTCACATGGGTTTGATGGTAAGAATGACAGAGATTCATATGTTGGTGAGCGTTCATCTCAACTTGGAGACATTTTACTTTTTCAAAAGAGGGTCATGAATATTGTGCATGTTTGTAATTTTGTGTAAAAACCTAAAATGACATACTTTTGGAATAACTTATTTTCATTCCTTTTTAAAAAAATATGTGCTAAATAACTTATAGATGAGAAATATGGGAGCTTTAGGGTAAGTCTAAGTGTCACACTGGTCATCTCAGGGCTAAGCAGATGTAATCCAAACTGCTTGAATAACCTTCTGTAGTTAGAAAAAAGCAAAATGCTCCATAGGCGTGTGAATGAGAAAGTGTTGGGGAGACATGTTCAAAACAGGCCTGCTACTCTTCAGACAGAAACAGAGTGGAGCTGCATCTGTTTAATTTCTGTCAAGAATTGTATTTTCTCCCGCCTAAGGGGCTGGTGTGATTATTGTTGAAAACACTATTTCCATTCTGGACTCCGTCCCTCTCTATGTCTGTGGTTGTTGAAGTTGATAAAGGTAGAGCCTTCCCCTAAAAAAAAACTTATACACAAAAATAAAGCTGCACAATCATCACTTATTGGCCTCTGTACATGTGTGGTGTCGACTGTGTCTGGAGAGACTCTGTCCACTGCCTGGATTTTGATGTTTTGTGTTGTTTTTGTTGACTTGGGATGTTTCTGGACGTGGAGTGGATGTGTTTCTTCCAGCCAATGAGAGTGTGCAGGTGGGTTTGGAAGTGGATACAATTCAGCGATTGGACGTTTCCCGAACCCAAAAGTGTTTAACTTTTTGGAAAGGACAAAAAGGAGGGATGATAATAAACACTCCTTCCACAGAAGGCTTACAGGTTTTCTCGACGTCAAAGACAAGCACACAGGTAGGCGAATGACCCACTGGCATCTTCCTCTCTTGATTAGTAATTAGCCACAGGTGAGGCTGAGGAGCAACACCTGGGGAGCACACACAGGAGAGAGAGAGAAAACATAAACACACACACAACTACGGCACGTAAAAACAGGGGTTACGTTTTTTTCTGCAATGGACAGAAAACTCCAGGATACAAACCTTCTACATCCTTTCTAGCCTCATGTGTTTACTGTGCGTTTGTGTGTGTCTTTGTCTAGACGTGTGAGAACAGAGGGAGGAGCCCGGCACCACACATTAGTGCTAATTGGTCTCGTCAATAGGATGTCAGTATTTTAACGTGGTAGTTAGTGTCAGTGGGATGGCCCATGAATGCACGTTAAGGTGGCGGTGTATTCACAACTTCACAGGAGGTTTGTCTCGTCGCTGCAGGTGTGGAAGTCTTTCAACTCTGGAGCTGCCAGATGGTCAGAAACTTTACAGCTCCTTGTGAGTTTCTGTGTTTCAGGAGTGACAGAAAGAGAGTGTGGGAGAAGGAAACATGACAGATTTTTTTCACTGCAAAACACATCTGAAGAGCAGGTAAAAAGACCTTACTTATTGCTATATTACAAAGACCCGGCCTATCCATCATGAGCACTTTAGAAAAGCAGCAAAAGTTACATTGGTAAGAAAAAACTGCCTTATTAAAAGGCAGAAATCTTCAGGCAGGATCCCCGGCTCATGAAGAAACAGCCTTCACAGACCTAGACTGCGCCGGGCTTGGAAAAGGGATAGGGGGAGATGGGATACATGTGTGCAGGCTGTGGACATCCATGCAGGCGGCCCTGGTTCGGGTCCGACATGTGGCCCTTCTCCTGCATATTGTTCCTCGCTTTCTCTGTCTCTGATTTCTATCTAACTATATCCACTGTCCTGTCTCTACAATAAAGGCATAAGAAGCCCAAAAATAAATCTAAAAAAAAAAAATGAAAAGGATGAGGTAAAATTCAGTTTGAAATGTTAGAAAACGCCTTACAAGTTCTTGGTTTAATACATTTATATATTCCTCTATTTCACATTCAAGTAGAGTCAGTAGCATAATTGTTGTAGCTTGTAAACACAACATTCAAATAAGGCCCCTCCTCCTGCGCTCATCGCCACCAGAAGTGCAGCGTGTATGTTTACTGCTTGTGCCTACACTGCAAGCTCCCTGAGAAAGCTCCCGTAGTTGTGTTGAGAACGTTGCTGAATTCACCTGAAGTCACCCGTGCCCTCTCATTGGCTGGGGAAAACACATCCACACCCCACTCAGAATTGTCCCGGGTAAACCAAAACATCAAACTACAGGCAGAGGACAGGGTCTCTGCAGACACACTGTGTCTTACTTTTGTATAAGTCTATATTATACTATTTTTAGGACAGTGCTACTGACTCTACCTTTAAAAAAGCATCTCTGATAACAATTATCTAAAAAATTAACACATACTTACCATTCAGTGAATGTATTTATCTTTATTTATAATATTGGTCCCTGTGGGTCACAGTAAAAAGTATTTGCCATTCTTTTCACAATAATCATATCAATCAATACATCATAATTAAAGAATTATAAAAATAATGATTAATGTGGGAATCCTTTTTTAAAGTTCACTGTATCAGTAAAACCATATTTACTGTATATTTACACAGCTTACAGCTCATTGTCCAATCAGCAGGCACCCCTTCTGTAGAAAGTGTGTGATGAGTTCATGAACAAATGACTACAGACAGAGTGTCATCCCAGTGCCCAGCTGCTGCCTGCCAGTCAGGACTTACAAAATACTATGTTCACATGGTTGCCATGATTGAATATTTAAAGAGCCAGGTGACTGAGGGCAAAACATAAACCAAGACTGAGACACTGAGCGTTGGAGCTGCAGTTTTTTAACCGCAGACAAATGACTTCAATTAAAGGAAGGTTTCTATTGTGCCTTTTGTAAAGATGAATGTATTTGTTCTGTGTTGTTCCCCAGAATCTGTTATAACTCTGTGGGGGTTTGAGTGACTTTGTTTCACTCAAAGACCGCTGAGTATTATTCTCAGCTTGACATGTTTCGAAGCAGCCTGTGAAAAATGAACTGAGTAAATTTCTAAAAGTGGAGCAGGAGAATACGAGATACTTCTGGCCTCACACAGAGTGCCACTGAGTCTGTTGTCTTTCAAATGTTAATGGCGACCATGAAACAAAGCAATGTTCCTAAAAATATGTGTAACATACTTGTTGCTGTAAGTGGATGGAGATGAATCACCAGGCACATTGCTTATGGCTGAGTGGGCCTCGTATCAACAGTCTGGGTATGTTGTGTATGCAACAATCACCATATGGCCCTATTAGGGTTCGACCAGGACAGGGTTTGGAGGGACATGATAATGTAGGAAAGCCTATGAGGGGGTTCAGGCAGACAGATGGCGAGCTCTGACACTAGGATAACATATTAGGCTCTTTGTTATAACATTTTGTTGTCAATCTTTCAGTGCTTAATATTCTTCTATTCTACTGTAGCTCACTGCAAGCATCACACTGTCACTGCTGCTGTTTCCATAGTGCTTACAAACTTGCATATAGAATGAATCATATTTAAACAATGTCAGATGCACACCACTGGAGCTCTAACATCTTCATTAGAATCAGAAGTTGTTCTCTCAAAGTTAAGGCCATGAACTGTGGGTAGAGTGTATCAGCATTTAAATTCCGGATTAGTCTCTGAACAATCCATAACAGCTGCCGAAGACCAAAAAAAGAGTCCTTACAATAACTACAACTTATAAGACAATGATTGACTGATAAAGCATGAACAATATTAAAAGACAAAGAATGATTCAGCCCAGATATGGAAACCTTTTAGACGTGCTTTTCAATCCTCCATGCACACACAAAGTGTTCACGCAAGGATGTGAATAATGCTATGCACACCAAAGCCATAAAGTTAAGTATATAAACATTTGTTTCTGAAAAATGAGCGCCACATCCTCCTCGCCGTACATCTAAAGGCTTTGATTCTGTTCTTGTTGGAGCTGTTAGTCATTGCAAGAGCATGGGAACATAACACTGAATTTCCTTACTTTATACTCTAATATTATAACAGCCTGGAAAACATAGGTATTAATGTAACTTGTATATGGCCTTATTTGAAAAAAAAAACAAAAACAAAACTTCACAAATCTAAAGTAACCTTCATCTCTAACACACAGAGAACTGTGTTCAGGCTGACTGGAAGAGT